ATAGTTCCTGTTTGCATGACATCTTCTTCCATCCTTGTACTCTCAGCCTATGTGTAACCTTTACACCTAAAGTGCATCTCCTATAAATATCATAGAGCTGAATCTTAAAAATTGATTCACATACCAAAGTTGTACCAAATATACTTGTTTTATAACTGAATCAAATCCCCAAAATCATTAAAAATTTTTTTTTGGACCCACATCAACCAACCTGCTATTTCCGTTTTATGGGAATCTATTGAACTTTGTAGCAAAAGTATTTGTTTCTAAGTACTCACGAATTCTTGCGTTGACTCTAGAATATGAACATCAAATTCAAAGCAGTAATGCATAATTTAAAAAACTCTAAATTTTATTTTTTTGAGACAGGGTCTCCCTGTATTGCTCAGGCTGGTCTTAAACTCCCAACCTCGAGCAGTCCTCCTGCCTTGACCTTCCCGAGTGCTGGGATTACAGATGTGAGCCACCATGCTTGGCAGCTACTCTAAGTAAATGCATCAACAGTGTTTGCTTCAAATTTTACTTAGAGTTTTTGCAACTTATAAAATGTTAAATTACAATTAAAATTTTAAATGTCAGAAAATGCATCAAATTCATATTCTTGATTTGCATTATAAAGTTTCAATTTCAACATAAATTCTTGTACCTGTCTGTGAACATCACAAATAAGCTTTTCCTTTCCTTGGAGCTTCACCTTTAGTTCATTCATTGTCAGTGTGATATTGGTGAGAAAATCTGCACCAGATATTGTTTTTAAAACAATATTTTGCTTTAGATTATTGCATACATGATAGCATTCCTTTTGTTGCAAAAGAATCTTAAATTGGAATCAAGAGAACAATGAATCACTAAAACTCCTTCACAATTCAGCAAATAATAATTAGCAAAGACATGATCTTTAAACTTAATTATTATTATATTTTTTGAGATAAAGTCTCACTCTTGTTGCCCAGGCTGGAGTGCAGTGGCATGATCCCGGCTCACCGCAACCTCCGCCTCCCGGATTCAAGCAATTCTCCTGCCTCCGTCTCCCGAGCAGCTGGGATTACAGGTGCCTGCCAGCATGCCCGGCTAATTTTGTATTTTTAGTAGAGACGGGGTTTCACCAGGTTGGCCAGGCTGGTCTTGAACTGCTGACCTCAGGAGATCCACTCACCTCAGCCTCCCAAAGTGCTGGGATTACAGGCGTGAGCCACCACTGATTTTAAATTTAATAATTTCTATGTATATCTATTTGTGTGTATGTGTGTGTGTACATGTATGTATCTCTATGTGTGTGTGTGTGTATATATATAAATATTTGAGACGGAGTCTCCCTCTGTTGCCAGTCTGGAGGGCACTGGCGTGGTATCGGCTCACTGCAACCTCTGCGTCTTAGGTTCACGTGATTCTCCTGCCTCAGCCTCCCGAGTAGCTGGGATGACAGGCACACACCACCATGCCTGGCTAATTTTTGTATTTTTAGTAGAGATGGGGTTTCACCATGTTGGGCAGGATGGTCTCGATCTCCTGGCCTCATGATCTGCCTGCCTCGGCCTCCCAAAGTGCTGGGATTACAGGCGTGAGCCACCACACCTGGCCTCATGTATATTTTTTAAACTAGAAAAATATGAACATACATCTCACTTTAACTACTAATTAGGATTTACATAGGCACAGTAACTGTCTGCATATAACATTTAGATAAATACACTATAATGTTACTTTGGTTAGTAGTAAAATGCTGTTAGAATGAAGTCAATTCTTTGATACCATCTGGCAATGTGTTTATGTGTCATACAAACAAGCAATGCAACGGTTCTCTATCTTAAACAATGCAACAATTAAAAGATAAATGTGATCCTATAAAAATCATTTTGCTTAACAAAAAGGACTATTTTTCAGTACCAGTCACAACAGCCATATTTCAAATGCCCAGAAGCCACGCATGGCTAGAGGCCACCACGCTGAACAACGCACATGAGCGGAGTTTCGCAGAGCTGAGGATTCTTGGATCCCTCCCTTCACTGGCTGTGTGCTGCTCTGCCTACACATCTTCCAATGCTGGGTCTTACCAGCAACCTCGGAAAGGCAGTCTTTTTACATTTAAACTATTTTCAGGAATACAAAAAGTCAAAGGGAAACAGGCTAAAAGAATTAATTTAGCATCAAATGCTACCTTTCATCATTTTCTGGAATTACTAAGCTGTTTAGTAGCGACACCACGGATTTCTCTTGCAGACTAAAATCTGAATAAATGATAATGGGGAATGAAGTAAAATCCAGCTTGAGAAACAAGATTCTTCAACTAAATACTTTTGTCAGATGGGTAAAGGAAAAATGGGGGCCTTGGTGGCAGACATAGATTTTGAGTCAGGGTTTACATAATGACAACAATGCCTGGACAAAACTCATTTATCCGTCTTTTCACCCACATGTGAGGCAGGAATTGAGATTATTACTTCCCTTTCCTAAATATTTCAAAATTTCCTTTCCTTTCTGGGCTTACTGCTCTGCAAGCCCGCCTCGGCTTAGCTGTCAACTGGACCACACCAGAAACCAGCTAACTAGTCTGACACCACGTATCCGTCTCCCCTTTTAACGCACCCTGCACAACGCCACTGGGCCCGTTTCTTCCTCCACACCTATCGCATCTGCAGCACCCAGTGCAATAGATTTATGGTCAACGAACAACTGGAAGGATGATGCCTATAAATCTTTATTTCCAAACTAAGCACAGAGTCTGACAATTGCAAATCTCTCAATTTTAAGTAAGCTTAGGCAACTTACTACCGGGTAACTCCGTAAGCCCAGAAGCTTTGATTCACTTTGCTGGTAAGCTGGAAGGTATCCAGCAATTAAAGCTCTTGAAGCTGGCCTCAGGTCAGGCTTGACAGAGCAAGCCAAGTTTCCTGTAACAGACCCAAACTCCTTTAACAGCTTTTGGGGAGATTACAGTGATCTCAAGTTTGTGATTCAAAGAAAATGAGAAAACTGACATCTCCTCGTTCATTTGATTAAAAATGTTAAATGTGCTAAAACTGCGGAAACTGGTTTTCATGCTACTTTGCAATCCAGCTGTCCTCCCAACTCCTAGCTAGACTAGCTGGTTAGACTCATTTATGTAACAATGTATTTAAAATATTATTCAGGGGAAACCTACTTACAAAAACATTTCTCAAATTCTCATAAAATTCTAGTAGAAAACTATCTTCTACAAGTTTCTTCTAATACATAACCACTCATTATGTTAAAATTATCTTTATAATACCTGTAAAAGCTTATTTTAAAATCAATTTGAATACCTAAATAATAGTCTAAAAAGGGAATAAAACTCTCAGTATATAACACTGTTATCTAAAACCTAAAAACTTTATTCTAAATATATTTCAGTTCATGTTTCTTTAGGTACTTGTTCCTTTAAAGAACATTAACTGGAATTTATCAAGTAACATGGCACACACTTCATTAACTTTTTTGTTTTTTTTTAAGACAGGGTCTTGCTCTGTCACCCATGGGGTGCAGTGGTTCCATCCGGGCTCACTGCAACCTTAGCCTCCCGGGCTCAAGCAATCCTCCTGTCTCAGCTTCCCGAGTGGCTGGAACAATAGGCACGCACCACCATGCCCGGCCAATTTTTGTGTTTTTTGTAGAGGTGGGGTTTTACCATATTGCCCAGGCTGGTCTTGAACCTCTGGGCTCAAGTGATCTGCCCACCTCGGCCTCTGAAAGTGCTGGCATTATAGGCATGAGCTACTGCACCCAACCTATTAACATTTTTATACTTATTTTTTGACAATTGTATGGAGGAACTAAAACTCACCATAGTGGTAAAATTGCATAGTCATGCACCATGCATAATGACATTTTGGTCAAAGACTGACCACATATATGAGGATGGTCCATAAGATATAACAGAGCTGCCTATTCAGATTTTTTTTTTGAGAGTCTCACTTTGTCACTGAGGCGGAGTATAGTGCCACAATCTCCTCACTGAAACCTCCACCTCCTGGGCTCAAGCAATTCTCCCACCTCAGTCTCTTAAGCAGCTGTGACCACAGGCACATGCCACCATGCCCAGCTAATTTTTCTGTTTTATAGAGATGGGGTTTCACCATGTTGCCCAGTCTGGTCTTGAACTCCTGGCCTCAAGTGATCCGCCCACCTCAGCCTCCTAAAATGAGATTACAGGCATGATCCACTGCACCCAGCCTCAGACATACAATTTTTTTGACTTTGTTGCCCAGGCTGGAGTGCAGTGGTGTGATCTCGGCTCACTGCAAGTTCTACCTCCCGGGTTCACGCCATTCTCCTGCATCAGTCTCCTGAGTAGCTGGGACTACAGGCGCCTGCCACCATGCCTAACTTTTTAAAATTTTTTATTATTTTTTAGTAGAGACGGGGTTTCACCAAGTTAGCCAGGATGGTCTTGGCCTCCCAAAGTGCTGGGATTACAGGCGTGAGCCGCCGCGCCCAGTCTACTCTGTCTTTTCCATGTTCGTGTCTTTTCCATGTTTCCCGGCCTACTCTGTCTTTACCATTGTCTTACAACTGCTTACAATGTTCACTACAGTACCATGCTGTACAGGTTTCCAGCCTAGGAGCAACAGGCTAAACCACAAAGCCGAGATATGTAACAGGCTACACCATTTAGGTTTGTGTAAATACAATCTGATGTTCACACAATGGCAAAATCACCTAAGGATGCATTTCTCAGAATATATCCCCCTAATGTGCATCACTGTATTCAGGATTAAGTAGAACATGCCTACTTTAAAAATTGGAGATCAAAGCAAATATTCATTTTTATCTAAACTGTCCAGATTTTGAATTTTTCCCACATGTACATAAAAATTTACATTTGCTATAGAAGTAGTTTCTAAAAGCAAAGGAACTCATGTTTTCTCAATTGTAAGCTGACATCTGAAGACTTACGAAGTCACACGTTTTTAAAGTTTACATATACAACAAAATAGAGGCAACAAGTAAAACATTTAATGAATTATTATAACCCCAACACGTTTGCTACTGTATTTAAAAGCATTTATTTAAAATATGTCAACCTCCTTCCAAAAGACGGAAGACACATGAGCCCATTTCTTATATCATGAGGTATAAGGTAACAACAACGAAAATCCTAAATGCAAAAGGACCATCAGTTGCCTAAATATAAAATTGAACTTTGGCAAAGATATAAGTGTTATACAGAATAACAGCCAATAAAGAAATACATTAGTTTACACCATTTCCCCATATCATGGCCCTGTCCCCCTGCATTCTTCCCTTTGGAAGGGTGAGTTACAACCCTGTCCCAGATGATTCAGAATTTTAAATACGTGGTCTGCTGATTAACCTCTATTTTTCCTCAAACCTCAGTACTACAGCTATACAAATTACACTTCTAAAATATTTGAAACAGATATTGAATTTATTGGTTGGCTATGAGTAGGAAAATACATCGGTAAAGAAAAAAGACCCTGTATATAAATATAATACTAGCTAGTTACAATTTGACCAAGAAGGTTCCACTGAAAAGAACAGTACAAGCCCTTGTTACCGCCAGTCCATATGGTATATTCAGTTTCCCACCACCCTCATCAAAGAGCTGCCTGGGCGAATGGGACATTCTTTGAGCTTATAGTGCAGATAATGTGCTGGGTTTTGTTACATGAATGGTAAACAAGAGTTAGTCCAGTGCATTACACAATATAATGTACTGTGAATAAAGACTAGATACTTTATTTTACACACTACTTCAACATACCAGTTACTAAAATTTATGTAACCAAAAAGAAGAGCAAAGTGAACATCTTAAAATACTGTTTATGAATGGTGAAGAACATCTGCTAAAGGAGTTCTTGGAATTATCTGCAACATTTGTACTAGATATTCTGATAGCTTTATTAAAAAAACAATGCTGTAATTGTTTTGCCTAGCTTGGTTTTAGTCCTTATACATGACCCCAAAACCTTAGAAGTCAGTATGGAAACTAGTTCCTTAAATTTAAATAGTACAAAGTGAAACTCTAAAACTTGAATGTTATTATTGAGAACCTGAATCTCAAAAGAGCTTTGAAATTTTAATTTAAACATTTAGAAGTGCATTCCATCCAATTTAATAATGTCCCTAAGTTTGAAAGTGCTAATAACCCCAAGTAAGTTTTCCTGGTTGTCACTAAATCATATTAAAAACACACACACACAAAAAAAACCCCCACATTTTTGGAGATGTTCTCTGCCTATCTTTGGGACTATTAAAGTTGCACTCAACAATTCATTTCTACAACTTTAGCTTAAATTATGCCATAAATTATTTTAAATTCTCAAAGTATAAATAATTACCATTAATATGGTGAAGCTGTACTTCAAGAGATTTGCAACAAGGACTTGAGTGCCTCCAAACTTCTGATCTTTAAAACAGAAAACATGTCCTAAATTTTTTGTAAAACATTTCTAAAATGGATTTATCCAGCAAAAACACTGAAATTACATTATGGCAACACATTAAATATATTTGTTACAGAATTTTTGAAAAAAAATCTACACCATGAAAACATACTAGTTTTTATTGCATTTTAGGGATTATAGATTATTGAAAATTATTTAGGACACAGAAAATGCCTAAAACATGAAACCTTTCTTAACAAAAGCATCATTGTCTATTTTGGTGTGACTGTTTATTCCCTACAGACCCCGAATATTTCTTCCTCTTTTGAAGGTTACAGTTGTAAATCTACACTCTTGGTTCAATTTATCACTGTCCAAATAAGGTGGAGAAGCTGTTCAAACTGATCCACAGAATGCAGTATGCCTGGAAGAGGCAAAACAAGTATTTTCAAGACATAACAGGCCATTATATCTTAATATGCTGCCCCAAATTCAAATATATTGTAGACAGTAACAAATACAGATGAATACATTTTGTGTAAAGCTCAAACCTTTAGCATCTAACAAGGGCACTCTAGTTCCAGCATCTATGAAAAGATGACGTCCTCCGTTAACAAACACAAAATGAGTAAGTAAGTGCTCCTCCTCTCCCGCTTCCGTAAAGCTCTCTGGACCTGTGATTACATAATGCAGATCGTAGGAAAAGCTGCTTCCTCAGCCTCATTAGTCCAACCAGCTCCAGCTCACCTTCACTGGAAATTGTCATGATGCACATTACCAACACAGTGTTCAGGAAAAATGAGTAAACATACCTTTTATTCACACTCTACAAAAAAACCAATAACAAAACCCCATACAAAGTTATGCACTGGTTCTACATCAATACGAGCTTTCCAATGTTCTGATTATAAACTGGATGTGTTTGGTGTCAGCACAACTTAAACAAAAAGCAAAAAACAAAACCAAAACATCACAATGAAATCCTAGAAAAAACAAAAAACGAAAAACCCTCAAAGGAAAAAAACAGGTCCAAGACAAAGATTCAACATCAAAACCTTTTGGAGAATTTTCTAAAAGGAAAAAAAAAAAAAAATCAATCATTTCCCAAACAACTCATTCTCTATATAAAAATTGTTAGTAACAGTCAATATTTTTTTTTCCTAATGCTCACATGGCGTCCTTTTGCTCCCCTGCCTGCAGTTGAAACAAAAGCAGTTTGACCAAACTCCCTCGGAATTCATTTGACTTTTGAGAGAAGAATTAATAAATGAGAACAGATCATGTACACGTTCACTTTGCAAAGTTAAAGCTGGTTTTCATCTCTATTCTACTAATGGCACTACAGGCAAAATAGAGCGTGTGATGTAACTTTTATCTTGGTTGACACACTAAAATGACTTAGTCATTTAAAAAATGATCTGAAGAATTGTCTTAGGGACCTGTTTTGAAAATACATCTAATTCATACTGCTTTATAAATGGAAAATTACTTCTTCTTAAAAAAGGATTAAAAAAAAAATAACAAAAAGACTAAGGAATACACGGACAACAAAAAGAATTCACATGATAGTAGTATTCCGGGTGACAAGCAGCACACTGCAATGACACCGAGAAGCAGTGCTTGGATCTGGTGAGCAAAGATCCAGGGACTCACCCTATAACATGTTCCAAAATGTGATATTCAATGCTTCACAATGGGAAAAAGCCACAGCTCATACAAAAGCATTTTCATAAAATTCTCACAAATGTTAAACAGTATTTTAAAAATATAAAAGAGGATGCACAGATTTTCTCTGCATGCACAGGCAGTGCTTGGTGAGAACAAATTTAGGCAGGCACAGTGGAGATTGGACAGGAAGTGTCTCAAAAAAGAGTTAAGAAGCTGTACCTAAGCAGCTGTAGTTTTTTAACTTAAAAAAGTTAGATTTAAAAATATCAGAATGTACATATATCAACCATTACATTCAGTCCATAAATGTCTACAGATCATCACTGTTCAGCTTATCTGTTCTGGTAGATAGTTTTCATAAAAATTCATGAATAAGTTGCCTCTGGTCTGAAAACATCCTAAGGTTTAAGCAGATTTGTATGTAAAGAACCATGTTGTCAATTTAAAAATAAAGTAGTACAAAAGGGCTAACAAAACCCTAAGAGTGCAAACCACAAGCAGAGAAAGTCTGTTGCAGCTTCTTTTACAAGCTGGCCTTTGTAACACATGAAACAGGTTCTTTTTCTTTAAAAAAAATTTAGCCTTAGTTTACAATACAATCATTTCCAAATGATTTTTTTTTTAGTACAAAATTTCATAAATCAGGTCTTCTGTGGATCATATACAATCATAAAGGCTAAATTCAGATTCTATATTTTACAAACAAGTCTGAAAAAGGAGGGAGTAAAGTATGGAAGAATGGTCTCTGGATGTTACTACTGGCCTCAAAAAAGTAGTGCTACAGATTTCTGTGCAAAGAGAATATGCTGTTCAAACATTTTCCTATTTCAAGGCATGAAAATATTATATTGGATAGAAGAAATAGGAAAATTTCTTATAACAAATTAAAGATAGGTGCAAACACACCAATCCCTGTCTAGCAGTATAAAGCATATTGGGCTCAGAATTTGTCTGTTGTTAGCACCTGGCTTTCATACTATATCCTTATCAAATAATCAGATTGAAAACCCAAATCATTCTTAAGCAAACAAAAATCCTCAGTGGCCATACCTCACTCCCCTATGTTCAGATTTTCACAAGTTTACAAGTGAATCAAGGCTGTCCTCTGAAGGTGCTTGACTACCTCCTGCCAGGAAGGTGGATGCCGTTGACTTGGGGCAGGAAAGGCAGTAAGAGCTCCAGTTGTGCAAAAAGTGAGAAGTGGTCAGAGGGAATGAGGGGGTGCGGGCAGCCACTGATGTTATTCTCAACCAGCCAGTGGTGGTCCAGAGGGCCCAGGATGCCTAAGGTGTTCAGCTGAGGTTTAGAATAGAAAATGTAGTCGATTATACCCTGAAAAACAACAGAAAAAAAGATATGCACCACATAAGACAACACTAAAATCCTGAGTGCTTTCAAGACATGTCTTTACTGTCATGTTTGGTGAACAGAACAAAACAAGTGAAACTTACTAGCTTATAGGATGAGGTGTGTACTACATATACCAAATGGTCCCCTTGCAAAATGTCAAATCGAGCAGAATGAAGCATTCTTCTTATCTGGATCTTTAATAAGACTTAAAAGACCCTTCAGGATGCAGCCTCTGCTTCTCTTTCCTAGACTAATTTGTGCCACTTTCCCTGCTGCTGCACTAGCCTTTGGAGTTAGAAAGGGGTGAGGATGGGAGGGGAACCTATAGGTACCAAGTTCTTTCCTGCCCCAGGACACACACACACCCCCCACATGTGCTCCACCCAGCTCTTTCCTGCCCCAGGACAGACACACACACTCTCTCTCTCTCTCTCTCCCCCGCCGCCATTCTGCCTGGAACACTTTCTTCTACTTGTTATGAGGTCAATTCCTTCTTAATCTTTCAATGTCAAGTTCAACTGCTTTCCAAAGACCTTCCTGAATCCTGCTCCTACCTACTTAGCCACCCTACCTCCCACCACTGATTCACTTCCCTTGCTAATGGCCATCTCAAGGTGTAATTATCTATTCATTTGTGTGGTTGAGACTTGTCTCTCATCACACCTCAGTTCCACGAGGGCAGGACTGTTTCTACCTGACCCCCTTTTCTCTCAGCAGCACCCCGCCATGGCATCTAATAAACTGTTCCCATCTGATGGTTCTCCTCCTCTCCTCGACATGCTCTTGGCCAAATGTCCTGAAGGACAGTCAAGTATCTTCTTCCTGCCTCTGTATCAGCAACAGAAAGAGAAAGAAAACCCTAAGCTTTCCCACCCTCTGGTTACTACCCATGCCTTCTCTTCAATGTCTCCTGAAGAATCTGAAAGGAAGGGGCACTTGAGGATCAACAGGGGTTTACTTTATATGCTCTAAGATGCAAGAGCTCCTGAGATACTGTCTAAACTCTTATTTACACTCTGACAATCTAATCTAAATGACTACTTTTCCAGCAGCTTAGAAACAGAAAGCTGGGAGTTGAGAAAGCAGAAATGCAACAAGTAGTTTAAATGGCAGCTGAGTCAGATGCGGTAGCTCCCGTCTATAATCCCAGCACTTTGGGAGGCTAAGGCAGGAGGATTGCTTGAGGCCAGGGGTTCAAGATCAGGCTGGGCAATATAGCAAGACTCTGTCTTTACAAAAAATTACCCCAAAAAAATGATTTGGGTATGGTGGCGCACACCTGTAGTCCTAGTTAGTGGGGAAGCTGAGGCAAGAGGGTTGCCTGAGCCCAGGAGTTCGAGGCTGCAGTGTGTTATCATCACATTACTGTACTTCAGCCTAGGCAACAGAGTGAGACATCTCTTTTTAGAAGAAGGACAGCTGAACACAAGAAAGTGACAGCCCTAAACAATCGCTAATGTTAAAAGTGATGATAGTCTGACCAGGGGCGGTGGCTCACGCCTGTAATCCCAGCACTCTGGGAGACTAAGATGGGTGGATCGCATGAGGCCAGGAGTTCGAGACCAGCCTGGCCAACATGGTGAAACTCCGTCTCTACTAAAAATACAAAAATTAGCCAGGTGTGGTGGCAGGCGCCTGTAATCTCAGCTACTTGGGAGGCTGAGGTATAATAATCACTTGAACCTGGGTGGAGGTTGCACTGAGCTGAGATCGTGCCACTGCACTCCAGCCTGGGCAACAGAGTAAGATTCTCTGGGGGGTAAAAAAAAGATGTATCTTAGAAACACTTATAAATGGCTAACATAAACCACATTTTGGCATGCAAGAGTTTAGTTTCAATTAAAATGTTAAGAGACGGAACGTCTTACCCCAAATGTCACCCAAATTAGTTACTATGGTGCTGTATATCTAGCTATTAGTAAGGAGAATATAAGAAACATAACTGCGGCAGGGCGCGGTGGCTCACGCCTGTAATCCCAGCACTTTGGGAGGTCGAGACGGGCGGATCACGAGGTCAGGAGATCGAGACCATCCTGGCTAACACGGTGAAATCCCGTCTCTACTAAAAAATACAAAAAAGTAGCCGAGCAAGGTGGCAGGCGCCCGTAGTTCCAGCTACTCGGGAGGCTGAGGCAGGAGAATGGCGTGAACCCGGGAGGCGGAGCTTGCAGTGAGCTGAGATCTGGCCACTGCACTCCAGCCTGGGCGACAGAGCAAGACTCCGTCTCAAAAAAACCAAAAACATAATTGTCCCCAAAAGGTGAAAAAGTCAACTCAGGAATTTTACAGATTATTTCATCTGACTTCTTATCCTGAAAAATATTAGAATAAATATCTACAAAGTAAGGATACAACAGCAATCACGTGGACTTCTAAAGAAGGTAATAAAAGAATATTACTGGCTGAGCACAGTGGTTCACGCCTGTAATCCCAGCACGCTGGGAGGCTGATGTGCAAGAATCATTTCAGGCCAGGAGTTCAAGACCAGCCTGGGCATAGTGAGACCCCCATCTCTACAAAAAACACAAGAATTAGCCAGGCATGGTAGTAGGCGCCTGTAGTCCCAGCTACTAGTGAGGTCGAGGTGAGAGGATCATTGGAGCCCACATGGTTGAAGCTGCAGTGAGCCATCATTGTACCACTGCACTCCAGCCTGGGTAACAGAGTGAGACCTTGTCTCAAACCAAAAACAAAGAATATTGCTGTCAATCAATTCAAGATTGCTTCATTCCAGTCTGAACACACATCCACATTTTTAAAGACATAATGATGCATCAGAAGACTTGCCAGTAAAATAGAGGTTTGAAAAACTTATCAGTCTCAAGACACACCTTGAAATCAAACGTGTAATTTGTGTAAGGCATCAGGCCACTCTCATAGGCACTCTTTAACTTGAAACCATGAGTGATCCTTCCATTGGTGGTTCCATTCTTCCCGTGACAGCTGAAGTTGGTAAGACTTTCATTATACCTCAACTCCTTAAAGTCTTTGTGATTTGTTTCTACTCCACCCGTGCTCAAATATTCTACAACACCTACAATGAAGACAAATTTTTTTACTGTCAAATATAATATAAACAAAAAGTAATTTTAAAAGATCATGCAATAGTAAAAAGTTTTAAACTACATATTCCCACGTTCCAAAATGTTTCCTTTTACATTTGCCAGGACTTGTCCAAATCTATTTTTACACAGCTGTAATCACAGAATACTGAATAGTTTATACTTTGCTTTATGAACATGTGTCTTCCCAATTATCATTCTTTAATGCACAATGCAACTGGGCTGGTGGATAATATTTATGGTTACTTATTTTGTAAAATGCAGGTAGTTTCCACTTTTTACAAAGAATTAAAGATAACACCACAATCAACATCTTAGTATGCAGACTTCCTGCTTATGCTCAATTATTTACTTGGTATAAAATCCCAAGATTAGGACTGAATGTGCCATTTTACAATACTGCCAGCTATGGAACAGAATACCACCAGCTAGTTACAGAGCAAGCGTCCACATCCCTAGTCAAGTACTTTCCCAATTTACTAAGCATAGATGGGCTCTGAAAATAAACTTCCATTTGCATTTTATTCACAAATTAGCAAGGCTGGACGTTTTCTGACCTGCCTGCTATTACAATATCGTATTTCTCTTTTTTTTTTTGAGACGGAGTCTCGCTCTGTCGCCCAGGCTTGGAGTGCAGTGGCACGATCTCGGCTCACTGCAAGCTCTGCCTTACGGGTTCCCGCCGTTCTCCTGTCTCAGCCTCCCGAGTAGCTGGGACTACAGGCGCCCGCCACCACACCCGGTTAATTTTTTTTTTTTTTAGTAGAGACGGGGTTTCACGTTGTTAGCCAGGATGGTCTCGATCTTCTGACCTCGTGATCCGCCCGCCTCGGCCTCCCAAAGTGCTGGGATTACAGGCGTGAGCCACTGCGCTCGGCAATATCGTATTTCTCAATGCTGAAATGGGTCTTGGGTATTAATGTGTGACTAGATTTTCTCTTTACCCCTCAGATACTTTGTAGCTACACGGAAAGTAGAAAGCATGTAGAGAAATTGTCAGAGACTACTACTCAACTGCTTCAGCAGCAGTAATCCCCAGACAACCTGATGAAATGAAATAATTACAGATTTTAGATAGCTTTGATTTTCCCTGAAATCGAATTTTTTTTTTTTTTGAAACGGAGTCTCGCTCTGTCTCCCAGGCTGGAGTGCAGTGGCGTGATCTTGGCTCACTGCAAGCTCCGCCTCCCAGGTTCACGCCATTCTCCTGCCTCAGCCTCCCGAGCAGCTGGGACTACAGGCGCCGCCACCACGCCTGGCTAATTTTTTGTATTTTTAGTAGAGACGGGGTTTCACGTTGTTAGCCAGGATGGTCTCGATCTTCTGACCTCGTGATCCGCCCGTCTCGGCCTCCCAAAGTGCTGGGATTACAGGTGTGAGCCACCGCGCCCGGCCTGAAATCGAATTTTAACTCAGTTTCTTTCTTTCTTTTCTTCTTTTTTTTTGGAGATAGTCTCACTGTCACCCAGGCTGGAGTGCGTGGGACAATCTTGGCTCACTGCAACTTCTGCCTCCGGGGTTCCAGTCATTCTTGTGCCTCAACCTTCGGGTAGCTGGGATTACAGGCCTGCACCACCACGCCTGCCTAATTTTTGTATTTCCAGCAGAGACGGGGTTTCACCATGTTGGCCAGCCTGGTCTCGAACTGCTGGCCTCAAGTGATCCGCCCACCTCGGCTCCCCAACGTGCTGGGGTTTTCTTTCTTCCTAATGGCTCTATCTATTGTGATGTCAATAATGTGTTTCCCAATGCGCATGTGTGTGTGTTCACGCATACACTCAAGTCCAAGGAGAAGTATTCCTGTGTGTACAAGTGAGTGGAAACACGAAAAGGAAGAAACAGTTTGTTATTACAAGGGCTATTGTTTATTGCATACTATCTATGGAAAGAGCATTCCAGATCAGGCTTTCTGTATCTTGATTTTAATAATCAAGATCCTTGCTCTTTGTTAAAATCGCTTGACTGATGTGTGTGTAAATAAAGGAGCTCAATTTCTGCTTGAGGTGTATTTTTCTAATCAAGTTACAAATACATGCAAAATTGAGATTCCATAATTTTAACTCAAATTTAAACTATGATTATATTACCAGATGCTGGAATCCCAAAGGGGTTGTCTCAATAACCATAATTATCTCTGACTTGGGGGTAATAAAACGAACTACATACGTTCTTTAAAGAGTTATTTCACATTATTGGTTATGTGTTTATTCAAAATGATTAACATCCTTCTCCTCAAGCTTCCACAATATCGTTTCATCTTCAAAATGGCCCCTCCACCCCAACGTGACGTTTAAAACCTGCTCATAGCTGCCATTACAAACTGAATTTTTATTTGGACTTAATTTGGAATGATCAGAAACAAAACATTACTAAATCATTTTATGTCAAAAAATATTCTACATAAAATCACATTTTTTCTTACCAGAGTCTGGCAAAGAATTAAGATCTGCACATAACACAAGTGGTATAGTTCCAAATTCTCCCAAAACACTGGATTTGAGGTTGCGAGAGGCTTTATCAATAATGTTCTTCACTTCTGAGAGGAACATCATAGTCTGCACCAACTTCACATCAGAGTACTCAGGGTCCCAATGCATGTGCGCATTGGCCACGAGAATGAGCTGTTTTTCTGTTCCAAGATGTGGCTTTCCAGCTACATTAGATAAAAACGAAACAAAGAAAGAGACAAAACCCACCCATCAGCCCATATATTCTTCAGCGTCTGAAAGCAAATAATCTCTCAGAGTCCCAGAAAAGACACCTAAAATTTCCATCGGATGACTGAACGTGCCCTACAACAAATCTGAGAAATACACGCCTAAACCTGGGTTGATGCTTCCAGCACAGAGCATTCACTACTTGTGCAAAAACAGCCCTATTTGGGACAGCTTGATTTTTAAAATTCTGTCTCCTTGAAACTTTTGGTCTTAGTTTGGATGTCCTAAATCAAGCCTCACAAAATTACATCTAAACCCGCTTTCTTAGATGTAAGTCCTATTTCCATTTTTTCTATACTTCACATTAAATATCTCCAGTTCCAACTGTTCCTCAAGGGACACAAGTTTCAGCTCCCAGCATAATGGTCACTTGAAATATACTTTCAATTTGAAGTGGTCCATTTATCCCAAACTCAAGACCTTTAAAATAATTATTTTATTTTATATTTTTCTTTATTTATTTTTTTGAGAAGCAGTCTCACTCTGTCACCCAGGCTGGAGTGCAGTGGGGCAATCTCAGCTCACTGCAACCTCTGCCTCCCAGGTTCAAGCAATTCTCTCCCTCAGCCTCCCAAGTAGCTGGGATTACAGGCGCCTACCACCACAGCCAGCTAATAAAATGATTATTTTAAACAGATCAGGAAAAGAAGTCAGCTTACAGGACATCCTTGCTGCCAAAAAATTATAAACGTGTATGGAGTTCTTACCCCTGAGCAGTTATTTTAATTTATATTTACTTCAACATTTCTTTTTTATATGAAAAATTCTTAAGCACACAAAAAAAATGTTTCTTAATGCTTTTCAAGGCTTCTAATACTTTAACGGGCAATGCTTTCTCATGTTGTTTTGTGGTAGAGAAAAAGAGATACATTTCAGGAAAGACAACTTCTCACTGAGTTTCTTCAGGTGTTAGACAAGACCATGAATACACAATACAATTTCTGTTTTCTACTCTTTTGAAGATTTCTAGTCAGAGCTAGTCAATTTTACAGGAAGTGAAGGGCACTCACACGGCATTTCAATCGATTCCTTCCGAAGTTCTAGCAGTACTGCAACCCCAATGTTATCTTTTGTCATGACTCTGTTCAGCATAGCTTCAGACCCCTCAGAATTTGCCATGGCTAGCTGATTAAATTCAACAGTGTGTTTCTGAACCAAAGTAAATCTACAACAAAAACAACACACAACACACACAGAGTTGGGAATACCAAGAGGTTAGCTTTGTGGGAAATGTAGTTTTCCCAAACTTCCTTCACAGATACGATGGCACTTAAATCACATTATGGAAAATCCTCCACGGTTAGCACCAAGGTTCCCACATCCATTTAAAGTTGCTCTCAGTCTGTTATTGATACAAATAACAACTTGAAATACTTTTACAACTGAAGAAAATGTAGTAATCTTCTGTTTAGGTTTTATGTTGGAATATTCTACCTTGTAATTTTTAAACAATTCTTTTCTTAAGTATGGGTTTAAGAATCCCTGTACCGTCCTAGAGGGAATTTTAAGTACCTGGTATTTCAATTAACAATTGGAGTTAAACCCTAGTAAACACCTGAAGAAACAGCAGTACTTTAAGCATGTCTCCAAAACAAGGTTATTTCTGATGATTAAAAACAAACAAACAATCCCCTAGGTCAAACAGTATTATTTTCTTGAGTAATAACATAGTGCCTCATTCTCTCATTTGCCAATTCATTTCCACACCCTTGGCCCCCACCCTGCAAATACTGAGAAAATGTTCTTTTTCAAAAATAAGATGACTTACTTTTCTGTCTTGAAGAATATTGCACAGCCATCAACATGTTTCCTTTCTTGTTCTGACATTGTCCTAGCTCTAGACTTAGGACTGAAGAATCCATTATAGCCACGTTCTTTCAGTTCTACCAGAAAAAAACTGTAATACTGTTCCGTTTCAACCTCCTGAAAAATTGTAAACAGCACAGTCATTTCATAAGAAAAAAATTAGTCTGCATATTAACTTTCATGTACAGTTTGAGAGCTTGAAATAATTTCAAAGGACTCGTCTGAAGATTAAAGAATGTAACATCTTTTCACACCAGGCTTGGTGGCTCATGTCTGTAATCCCAGCACTTTGGGAGGCTGAGGCGGGCGGATCACTTGAGGCCAGGAGTTCCAGAACAAGCCTGGCCAACATGGCGAAACCCCATCTCTGCTAAAAATATAAAAATTAGCCAGGCGTGGTGGTGCATGCCTGTAATCCCAGCTACTAGGGAGGCTGAGAATTACTTGAACCCAGGAGGCGGAGGTTGCAGTGAGCTGAGATCATGCCACTCCACTCCAGCCTGGGGGACAGAGCAAGAACCTGTCTCCCCAACCAAAAAAGAAAAAGAAAAAAAAAAAAAAAAAAAAGGTAACATCTTTTCAACGCTCTTTATCTGAAACCAACTGGAACACCTACTTGTCATTTTACAGGTACCAGGTGCCAAGGACAATTCATTGTTATTTAGGAACAATGAATGAAAGACACATACTTCTATGCATGTATATTTCCTTATGTCTTAGAACTGATGTGGAACAAGAATCACAGAGGTCGAAGAACTTTACAAACCATAACTTCAGACCCGTGGGGAGAAAGTAACATGTCCAAGATCATGCAAGTGACTATGACAGCTGGACTGAGAACCCAAAATGATCGTGCACCAGGTCAGTCCTTTTTACACGGTGCCTTAATTGTTCTAGTAACATGGTCAGCAATGCAAAGTTACAGCTTGACCATGCCAGAACTTCAGTAACTTTGCCACCCAATTCAAAAATAGTGCAGGGACACTGGAGGAAGGAGGAAGGAGGAAGGTGAGTATTTAGCGGTCATGGCAAATGCATAAAACCCAGCTGAGCTCATTTGCTTATTTTGCAACACAGCACTGCAAAGCAAGGCAGGCAGTACTCCCAGCATTCACTGATAACAGCAAAAAGCAGTACTTGAAGAACTACCGAAGCTGAAACTTCAAATGTGTCAGTGTAATGTATTCCTAGTTTGCTCCTTGCTTTATCAATGCTAGGTCGACTCTCTTCTGTCTGACTTACCTGAAGACTTACGATATCAGCATTGCAGCTCAAGATTTCTTGAATAATGGCCTTTTTCCTGTAGTCCCAGTTTAGTGCCCATGATGGACAGTAGCCGTATAACTGCCGGGTCGCATATTTATCACAAAGAACATTATAGCACATGACAGAAAACAAGGCTGTAGGAAAGATAACTTTACTTATTCACACACGTGGCAGAAAAAAAATATATAATTAATTTCAGTAATGGTTTTCACTTAAATGTTAAGTTTGACTGTATTCATTCAATCTATAGTCACTGAAAAGCTACCATATGCCACACATGGGGGATAAATAAAAGACGGGTATCACAAGCAGGACAGATAAGTGAACAAGTTAGAATACAATGTACTACCTGCTACAGAGGCAGGCACAGAGGTTTGGAAGTAAAAAGTCTAAGCTTGTGAGCCCTTCGGTCTCTGAGTCTAACATTCCTCATTTTTATACTCCTACCATGCTACCAATTGTTCATGTATGACATGGAAACTGGATAGGTAGTCCTTAATAGGCATGCCTCATTTTCTTCTACAGCACAACTATTATTATTTCATGCAAAATGAAAACGGTACCATAGACCAAATTTTGTTACACGCGCCATGAAAGCTCCCAAACTATTTTCATAGAATTTAGGTTAAAAGGAGATGAGCAGTCATTAGTTCCACTTTCCTCTTAAGTAAGGGTTTAGCTCTCTTATAACTTGGTAGTGTCAAATCCATTTGGAACATGCTAGGATTTGGAAACTTCTAACAGAGAAAGATTTGGGTGTATTCATTTTAAGTGAATTTCATCAGTACATTACAGAAGGGTTTCTCAACAAGAGTGGCACTACTGACATTTAGGTGAAGTCTGTTGCGGGGGCCTGTGCCATGTACTACAGAATGCTGAGCAGCATCCCTGGCCTCCATCCACTAGATGCCAGCAGCACTTCTCCCCGGTTATGACCATCAAAGTTGTCTCCAGACATTGCCAAATGCCCTCTGGGGGATAAACGGCCCATTTGAAAAGCACTGCTTTATAGTACACTTTCTATATAGCACAATGTAATATACATAGAGGTCATGTGAGCAAGAATTCTTTTTCATTACCTCCCAAACCAAATCAACCTTAAACATTCTATCTTAATGCTACCTGTAATCTAAGCATGCCGACAATACTGTTAGGCTTATAATAGAGACTGAGCAAAAATAACAGTTAAAAAATAAAAGACTACCAACCAGTTGGCCTTGTTCTATCTGGTTCTTGTAACATAATCCAAGACCTTGGAGGTGGTTGTTCTGTTGTAACTAGTTGAATAGAAAATACAGAATTAAGCAATATTCTTACACATCTTCCTAATAAAAAGGTTTAAACAAATAACCACTTACTTCTTTTTGCAGTACCTGACAAATTATCAAGCAAATAGTTCAGCAGCCGTCTTGTTCCATCTGGTTCCTGATAAAGGTTCAATATATCCTGGGTAAGGGGATTTCCTGGAAATAATTTTAAAAAAGTAAAATGAAACTAAGCACTAAAATGTTTCAAAATTTCATTATGTACCAAAATTATCAGATCATCTATAACAATGTTATAGTTACTAGTAAGATGTCAAACTACAGAAAATGTTTTTTCAGTTTTTGATATAAGAGTAAAAATGATTCATACCATGTTCTATATACACATTCAAAACATAATATTAATGGGCTGATGTCAATCAGAAATGCTCTAGCAGTGCTCTGTATCTGACCTGCCTTGCCAACATTTTCAATAACACAAACGGTTATAACAAACAAGAGCGAGTAAAACAGGAACAGGGCAGCCAGGTGACTGGGGGAGTGGGTGGGCAGAGGAAACAGTGAAGGGAAGGATGAAAGCCAGCGTAATGCATCAGAGAATCAAAACTCTACAATGTCACAAAGCTAACAACAAAACATCCTAATGACAAATATACACTTGCACTTAGATCTTTTAAAGTCATACTGAATAAAGCAACAACATGGGGCTGACTTGGCTTAAGAATTAACTCACTAAGGAGCGGGAAAAAAATCCCAGGGCCATGAGCCATCTGTAAATTCAATAACTGCTTTGTACCAAAATGAGAGCAAATACAATGATTTACATATACCTACAAGAGCCTCAAATCCTCTCAGAAGGGTTTCTTATGCACATGAGAAACAAAAGTACAAATAACAACAGTACAGTGCAGGGTTTCATGGAGCAAAGTTCCTACCCATTCTACACAAGCATTGTGTATTATTCTGGATGCCACAGCGCCATTTTAAGAAAACCAGACAAATTCTGCAGTTTGAAGGTGGCAGATAAAATGGTCAAAGATCTTAACCATACCAAATGAAGACAAACTAAAGGATATGGTAGCTAAGAATGATCACAACCTAAAGGAAGTATTTTTTCCTATTCTCTCATAAAAGATTGGACTCAAAGAGCAGAAGGAAGACTGAGAGATAAGATCTAACAGGAAAGGCCAAGGCAGAATAGAAGAGGTTGGCAAACACTGTTAGCTATTTGAAACGCCCTGTGCTGTGAGGCAGTGGAGTATCCTTCAAAGAAGCTGAGTTGCATGGATGGGAAAAATGACAAAGTTCATTTACCTTTAAGATCTCTTTCAGTTTGAAAATTCTAGGATTCTAAGAATTATAAAAAGTAAAAATGTGCTGCTCTAAGTGCAAAGTAGGTATTTGCAGGAATACAATTACAAGAGCACCAATCTCTCACATGTGTGGTTCTTTATACCCATCAGTCTTTTCATGTTTTCACTGAGTCACAATCCTGTGAGATAGGCAGCTACAACCTGAAGCTTATCAGGACCCTGTGTGAAACACATCTTGAGAAAACGAAGTCAACCGAAAACTTCTCAGTATCAGGTAAACAACTCATTCTAACCAGACCTACAGTGATGCTGGGTTTTGTTTTGTTTTTTTTTTTTTTGAGACGGAATCTCGCTGTGTCGCCCAGGTTGGAGTGCAGTGGTGCGATCTCGGCTCACTGCAAGCTCCGCCTCCCGGGTTCACGCCATTCTCCTGCAGTGAAACCCGTCTCTACTAAAAAATACCAAAAAACTAGCCGGGCGAGGTGGTGGGCGCCTGTAGTCCCAGCTACTCGGGAGGCTGAGGCAGGAGAATGGCGTACCCGGGAGGCGGAGCTTGCAGTGAGCTGAGATCCGGCCACTGCACTCCAGCCTGGGCGAACACGAGTAAACTCCGTCTCAAAAAAAAAAAAAAAAAAAAGACAGCATCGGCCAGGCGCGGTGGCTCACGCCTGTATCCGCACTTTGGGAGGCCAAGACGGCAGATGAAGAAGGTCAGACGTTGACCCACCGTCCTGGGCTACACGGTGAAACCGTCTCTACTAAAATACAAAAAAAAAAAAAAAATTAGCTGGACATGGTGTCGGGCGCCTGTATTCCCAGCTACTCCGGGAGGCTGAGGCAGGAGAATGGCGTGAACCGGGAGGCGGAGCTTGCAGTGGAGCCGAGAATCGCAACCACTGCACTCCCAACCTGGGCGACACAGCGAGATTCCCGTCTCAAAAACAAAAAAAAACAAAACAAACCCCAGCATCACGTTAAAGGTCGTGGTAATGAGTTGTTTTACCTGGTACTGAGAATTCTTGGCGTTGACTTGTTTCTCAAGATGTGGTTTCAACACAGGGTCCTGATACAAAGCCTTGCAGGTTGTAG